CTAGGAGGTGGATTGATAGTATAAAGGATTGATAGTGACATAGATTCTTTGTTTGACCACACTTTACTCAGGCTCCTGCACCTTCTCCTAGACCCATCTGTGCAGTTCCTTGTAAGATCTAGTTTTAGCCAAGAATCCTGCGAAGTCAGTGTAGCAAGAACCCCCTACCTTCCATGTCTGATCACCCTAGACATCTTATGTAAAAAGAAAACAAAAATCTCAAGGCCACCGTCAACTCCTTATGCAAAAGGAAAAATAAAGGCCTCAGGCACCTGTGAAGAACTGGCCCCACAGATCACTTATTAAGGACATTTCTTGCTCACCTCCTATAAGAGAGGGCATGCAAATTGTAACTTAGGGTCCGCAGGCTATGTCCTAGCTCCTAAAACTAAAGTCTGTTCGATTCCAAACGAATCATGAACTACAACTTTATCTTTACAGGCAGCAGAACAGAGACAAGACAGGATCAGACCTACTTCCACCTCCCCAGGGACATCTGCGTAGTTGATTCTTCCTTCACTCCCTTTTTCTCTTCTAACATTCACCTTACCTTATGTAAAACATAGATTTTCGTGGGTCTCACAATCAGGTAGCCATTTTGTCTCACTATCTCACCCCCCTTCTTTGTGCCTTTAAATGCTAAAACCTCCAAATTTCCTTTTAGAATAATAGCCACAGTTTTGTCTGTGGTTCATGTTTTTCCTGGGCACGTTTTCAACTTTGGCTTAATAAACCTCCATGGATTGAGATTTTTTTGCCTGTCACTTGTTTGGGGTCAACACTGATCAAGTTCTCTATCCTCTACCATTTCTCAGGTAATGTCTGATCTGCCCTGGCCTGTCTTCAGCAAGACTCCTGCTAAGTCAGGTCAGCCAGAATCCACCTTCTCCTGATCTTTCCTCTTACTACTGACCCCCGTCCTGCCCCTTGGCTGTAAATTCCCACTTGCCTGTGCTGTAGTCAGAGTTGAGCCCAATCTCTCTCCCCACCACAAAATCCCATTCATTGCCTTGGTCCCTATACCTCTCACGACGTCCTGAATGAAGCCTGCCTTGCTGTGTTTTAACAAGCGGCAGGGACTACTTTTCCCAATTACACAATAGCACATCTTCCCCATCTAGGATGGAGGAAGAGGAGGGAGGCGATGCTGGTGGGTGGGAAGGCTGTCAAGTGGGGCTGCAGCCCAGGCTGGAGCCGAGAAGAGAGAACTGGCTGGTTCTTCCCAAAGATTTTTCTTCTGACTTTGCATTCCATCCTAACCTGGGGGGGTCTCTGTCCTATTTTTACAGCTGGGAAGGCAGAGGAAATCTGTCATCCACTGAACTTCTTGGCAGCCTTTAGGGGTAGCGGGGATCCTCAGCGTCTCCTCACCCGAGGGAGATTGGACAAACAAAAGTCAGCAATCCCACCCCCAACTTTCCTCATGTGTATTTGCATAAAGCCAGTTTCAGCCAACAAGCCCCATGGCTCTTGGACTTATTAATAAGCCTCAGATCATAGACATTCCTTCCATGATGAGTGTTTGAATTTTCTGAGGCAGCTTTCTCCACGGTGGCTTTGCTCAGTTATCCAGTTAACCATCCCATTGCTCAGTTATCTCCACTGCAAGGTGGCTTTGCTATGGCTGTGAGGCAGATGGGACTGAGGGGACACAGGGCAGGCTCTTCCTGGCCCATCTGCTTCCTACCTCCCAGGTTCCCTTAACCCTCTGTAGGGGGCAGAGAGGGGCAGGGGCTTCTTGCCCCTCTGCCATAGTGCAGCTTGCCACCTGGAGGCACTGCTACACAGGGCAGAGACTGGGGTGCTTAGACAAGAAAGCCACCACCCCCTGCCGCTGCAGCATGTTGCAGGAGGGAGAAGACAGGTGTGCGAGTCCTGGAGCTCCCCCACCTGCTTCTGAGTGAGGGAAGACTTTGGAGAGGCTGAAGACCAGAGACACTATGGGGAGATCGTTCTGTGGCCCGAGAGGACACTTGGTTGTGTTTCCTGTGTACAAGTCATGGGCCTTGCACCAAGTGACCACTCTAAACCCCCTAAGGGCTCAGATCCTTGCAGGCCACAGGTTTTTAGGACTGTGTGGTGGGTAGAGCTGGCTCTGGGCTCACCGTGGGGCCCTCCCAAGGCAAGGAGAAGGCTGGGCTGTGAAAGGACGCAAGTGGCTTACGTTCTAGGCCAGCACTTCCTCCCGCCTTAAAGGCAAATGTGCAGTCCCTTCCCCAGCACCTACACCCACCCACCTGCGTCAGAGTTGACCAGACCTGTTTAGCCCACAACCACAAAAGTCAGGGGCTCATTTAAGAACTTTTATTTATTTACTGAGACAGGGTGTCACTCTGTTTCGCAGGCTAGAGTGCAGCAGCATTATCATATCTCACTGCAACTTCAAACTCCTGGGCTCAAGAGATCCTCCTGCATCAGCCTCCCAAGTAGCTAAAACTATAGGTGTGCACCTCTGTGTCCAGCTAATTTTTCTATTTTTTTTGTAGAGACGGGGGTCTCACTCTTGCTCAGGCTGGTCTCAAACTCCTGACCTCAAGCAATCCTCTCGCCTCAGCCTCCCAAAGTGCTAGGATTACACGTGAGAGCCACTGTTCCTGCTACCAAGAACTTTTAAGTAGAAATGTGAGTCAGCATCTGACTGACGTTAGAGGTTCACACTATGTCGCAGGGGCTGTGGACTGGCCCCCAAAGCTCAGGGTGGCCCTGGGAGCTCTCACACCAGGCCTGCTGCTCACAGGTGTGCGGCTCAGCTCTGGCTGCGGCTGAGTGGGCAGCTGCACCAGCGATGTTTCCCTGGGAGTCTCTGTAAGAGGCTCACAGAGGGACTTGGGGAAGGGTCCCTGGGGAAACTCTTCTGTCCTTTGCCTTCCTCCAAGGCAGCCTCAGGGTCTGGCTGGCACAGTGACCACTTTCCTGCAGAAACACTGTATCCTCATATTCTCGTATCAGACACAGAGCACAGAATGAGGTGGTCAGGTTGAACCTCGGCCTTGGAGTCCAGAGACCAGGGTTTTACTCTTGGCAAAATGTTATATAGATGGAGAGGGATATTCTCCTCCAATTTTCCTTTCATTTCTTAATATTGTTATCGATACTGTAACTGATGCATTGATTCCTCTTATGTACCAGGCACTGTGCTAAGCACCTACCACATTAGTTTATTGAATTCTCACAGTCCTATGAGGGAGGTATGCTTATTCCTAAACACAGATAATTAGAGAGGCTGAGTGAGTTTCCCAAGGTCATTGAACCAGGATGACTTTGGACCCAGGTATTATTCCACAGTCTGTTAGTCAACCACCCTCAAGTGTCTCTGAAAAGCAACATTGATCAGCATGGACTTGAGCATGTTCTTCTTTTGGACTAGCTGCTTACAAACAAACAGGAAAATTATTCAACCATTTTTTTCAAACCAAATTTAAGTTTCTTTGGGTTTATCATCATATAAGGTATGTCCCACCTCTTGGGCTCCCACCCATCCCTATAGCAGAAACTCCAGTGTCCACCCCTTTCTGTGTTCTATTCCCATGAGCTGCTCTTGGCTCTCCCACCCCTGGCTGCTCTGTCTTAGCAATGAGTTTTTGAAATGCTCCTCCAGTTCAGCCTCAGCATCCTCCCTTGGACACAGGTTAGGTATTATCGCTCCTTCAGCTGAAAGCATTGCAGCTGTTGAAAGGTGGTGGAGGTGTCTCTTGATGTGAGCCTTGAAGGACAGGTTGAATTTGGGTAGGCAGAGAGAAATCAGTGAGGTATATGTTGTCTAAGGCTTTGAAGGTAGGGTATAAGAGGTACCTAGGTCATGATATAGAGTTGGGAATGGGTAGAAGCCAGGGAGGGTAGGAAAATGGTCTGAGATAGAACATCCTGCAAGGGAGAAAGAGGACAGGAGCCTGGACGGTGTGACATGCTCAGGGTGCTTGGCTGGGATGGAGGGGGAAGGGCACTAGGCTTTGGAGGGAGATGCATATTTTTAGGATATGTACCATGGAACATGTCCAAGGGAGCTGTGGTGAGAGCCCAGGAGGCTGGTGCATGTGGACCCGCCACCTTCCCTCCCTGGTGGCTTCACCAGAAGCAAGCTTTGTAAACTCTTTGAGGGCAGGGGCTATGGTCATTCACACTCCTTGTCTTCAGAGCTTGGTGTTTGGTCTGGTGCTTTGTAGGCACTCAGGGGCTTTCAGATGAATGAAGGGAGGGAGGATGGGTCAGTAGTAGGACCTGGTGATGAGCAAGGAGTTCCAGACAAGTGCCAACCAATCCCTTTCCAGGGGTTCACCTTCTCTGCATTCCCCGACTCTCATGGGTCACTGTGCACAAAAAAGCTAGCTCACTCTTCTGGTCTCTTCTGCTTCTACTGGGCCAGAAAAACTAAGCCAGAATTCAACAAAGTCTCAGTCCAGATAAACAAGATAAAACAAATAAAATTAGAGGAGAAGACCTCATTCAATGGAAAGTTGCTCTGTTTGTCCAAGACCTTTGTCCTATCCGTGTATCATCCTCAAAGTAAATGCTTCTCATTCACTCGCTCATTAGATTTCAAGTGAAGTAAGTTCCTGGTCTGTAAGTTCCCACGCTTGTAAGTTTCTCTTACTGTTGCACATTCTTCAGCAGGATGAAGTCAGAGGACCCCAGAACAGTTCTTCATCGGTAATAAGTTCTGCAGAGTCTTGGGTGTTACACAGATGCCCTTTTTGGATAAAGGCTAAAAGGCTGATTTTAAAAATGTACATTGAGACAAAACTTAAAAACAATAGACGGACTAATTGTAATCAAAAGACAAGTGTACTTCTAACCACATTTTTGTTTATTTTAAAATGTATTTCCTTCATGGTCTTTCTTGTGGTTCACCCTATGTAGTTTGTGTATTTGTTGGAACCTTATGTGTTTTTGACATGGTTTTTGCTGAACTTGATTTTTCCGAGACCCTCTTTCCCCATGTGCTCAGCCTTTCCTTCCCATCTGCAGCCGACCAGTTTCGGTGGCAGAAGAGGCCACATCTGCTTCCTGTAGGCCCCTGGCAGAGAAGCATGCAGTGGTGTCTCCTGCTGCTCTGGGCCCAGGGGCTGAGGCAGGCTGCCCTCACCTCAGGTAAGGCCTGAAATCTGGCAGAGCAGGGACCGGGAGACAGCAAGGTTGAGCTTGGCGGGAAGACCAGGGTGCCTGTGTAGGGAAGGTTCCGAGTGCACGTCACATCTGTTTTAAGGAAGGAAGTGTAATTTTCAGAGTCTTGTGTACCCTCATGTGAGAAAGGCAATCTCTGAGAAGGAGCTAAAAGTTCTGTTTTGGGTGGCAGATGAAGGACTTTGTAGACCCTTGGGGTTGGGGGTGCCTTGCTGGCTGGCACAGTCAAAGAAAAAAGAAGGCATCAGGAAGGAGGAATTATCGGCTTGCTTTTAGAAACTCACTCCTGCTCCATCTTCTTTTCTTTTGTCCTGAGGAACCTTCCGGAAAAGCATTGTAAGTAGTTCTCTGTGGACCAAAAATACCTTCTTCACAGATGACAGAGATTCTCCCATTACAGACCGAATTTTTGTTAAATTTATTTCTTCTATATCAAAAATCTTACACAAATATTTCTGAGGGAGAAGGACATAGTGCTTCAAATCACAGTATATATTAGTTTTTATGTTGCTCTGTGAACCTTCTGAGGGTGAGGAGATGCCCAAGGCTGCTGAGGGCAGGTGAGCCTTGAAGGGGGTGGTTTTGTCTGGGAGAAGCTGTTTCTTGCTGAGCCTCCTTTCTTTTGGGTTTCTTGGCTTTCTTGAAGGCTTTTCCAGGTACCCCAAATGACAAGCAACCAAACAGCCAGGTTGTATTTCAAAGGATCATGCATGCAGCATGGAATTAGGCTGCTGGAAGGTATGAAGAAGCAGAAGAGGTGATGTCAGCTGACAAGGGCTTGTATTCCAAGTGGGGAGACAAGATAAGCCCATGAGAATAATCAACCGGCTATCTGTGAAGCTCTAGGACACAGTGCAGGCGTAGAGTGGGAACGGAGAAGGGAGCCCAGGCAGGGCTGAGGGCCTAGAAGAGGTGACCGGCCTTCACGGGCAGGCGAGCAGGGAGCAGATGGGTGGCTGGAGCAGAGGTGCATGGACAACAGGTGGGACTGGGACGCTTGAATACAAACATGGGGAGGAGTTTCCCTTGAAATGGGGGAAACAGAAAGCAATTACAGTCTATGTGGGGGAGCGACAGAGTGGACTGGAGAAACTATCATTCCAACAACCAATTCTGGCCTCAATGCCACTTAGAATTTCTATAGGACAGTTGAAGGCTGGCTGTTGACCTGGGACTCATGTGTGCATTTTCTTCTTTCCTAGGAGCTATGACAGGCATGGTAGTAACAACAGGGAACATCTCTGTAGAGGAAGGTGGCTCTGTCATCTTACAATGCCACCTCTCCTCCACCAGGGCTGAAGTGACCCAGATCAACTGGGAGCAGCAGGACCAGCTTCTGGCCATTTGTCATGCTGACCTTGGGTGGCACATCCCCCCAGCCTTTAGAGACCGAGTGGCCCCAGGCCCCGGACTGGGCCTCTCCCTCCGGTGGCTGACCACAAATGACACAGGAGAATATTTCTGCATCTACCATACCTACCCTGATGGGATTTACAAGGGAAGAATCTTTTTGGAGGTCCTCAGAAGCTCAGGTATTCCTGGACAAGCTGGCTGATGAAACACTTCCTCTAGCATAGACAATGCCATCCTGAAACACCATGTGGAACAGGGCTTCTCTGTTCTGGATGGCATTTGAATCACCTGGGAACTCTTAAATACTACTGATGCTGGGGCCCACACCCAGACCAATTAAATCAGAATCTCTAGGGGAAGAGCTAGGATGAGATGTTCTAAAAGCATCCCAGTTAATTATAGTGGGTGGCCAGGACTGAGAACCACTGTTCTTGCATAAGAAGCACATTTTATCTTGCTAGGAAGACCTGTCGCTTAGGTGCTGAGATTGTGTGCAAATTGTTCTCATTCATTGGTTTATCAATCATTCAAAGTAGAATTCACTGCTAAGTTTATAAAGATTAGAACTGGCTAAAAACAAAGCATAGCATGTGCCAAGTGTAAATGTACAGTACTTTACATCTGTGTGCTACTTCAAAGTTTTCAAAATGCCCTTATATTCATTATCCAGCTGGACATTTAAACCAATTCCCCAGAAGTTGGGAAAGGATTAGTGTCGTAGCTGAGGGACAGTATAGCCCTGTGGTTAAGAGCTCAGGCTGGCAGACAACCTGGGTCCAAAACCTGGCTCTGCTGCTCACTTCAGACAGGATTGCTCGGCTTCTCTGTGCCTCAGTTTTCCCATCTGTGAAAAGAGGATGGATGTAAGGCCTTATGAGGGGCTAACAGAGGATGGAATTACCAACTACAAGAAAGTGTCCTTAGAACAGTGCCTGGACCGTGGTAAGTGCTATGTCAGTGATGGAGGCCGAAGCTGGGGCTTGGAGTTGCTCAGCGTGGTAGAGTTGATTTTAACCCAGGTGTTCTGATTCCACTAAACTCTACCCTCAGAACTTCTATTACTGCCATAAATTGTGTTGGAGATGAAGTTTTAGGAGTTTACAAAATATGGGCAAACTGAGAAGACACAAAGTTACCTTAAAGTTTCCTTTCAAGTGTTACTTCTTGGCTGGTTCCCACATAGACCAAATGAAACACACAGTTAAGAGCACAGGTGCTGGAATCACACCGCCCAAGGTCTACTATTGCCATCAATCCCGGTAATCTGGGTAAATTATGTAACTTTTCCTCATTTTCTCATCTATAAAATGTGATGAATAATCTCACGAGTTGATATAAGTAAGGCCTTAGAACAGTGCTAGGCACATAAGCTTAATTTCACACATGCTAGTTATTATGCTATTTCTTGCCTCAGGTTAGAGGGCGCCTGGAACAATGAACAGGGCAGGGGACCTGGATTCCAGCAAGAGTAACTAAATGATTGTCTTGACCCTTTGGGCTCTTTCTCCGAGCGTCACATGCCCAAGGGCCCACCATCAGCCTGCGGGAAATGGAGTGAGTTCAGGTGGAAGCCCCTTGTGGGATAGAGGGCGCGGAACTGTCTGCGCATGTCCAGGCCAGGACATTCAGGGACTGATGATCCTGACAAGTGTGCTTCTCCCCGAGGCCACAGTGGTACAGCTATTCCCCAGCGAGAAAATGCATAAATGAAGGTGCAAATTTCTTCCCTGTGTCTCAGGGACCACCTGGGGAGAGAGATCAGAAGTTGTCCTCTTGGATGCCTGTTCAGCTTCCCCTCAAAGCCTGTGTGTCTCCAACCTTTTTGTCATTGCAGCTCCAGAGAGCATCACTGGTCACTTGCATCTCTCTTCTTGTTTCTCAGGTGGCCAGTTGCTTACCCAGGACACCAGCTCTCCTTTAATCACTTGCATTAACTCCAACCTTGACTTCTTTGTAGCTCTAACCTCAGACCTTAGTCCACGTTCCTGTCCTAACACTAACTATAATATTTAAGCTATTTCTAACCTTAACGCTAAAATTGAAATTAACCCTAAAGCTAACCTGGCTCATAGACACAGGTTTAAGTAGTCCTTATGCGGAGTCTGCCCCTTCCCGCCCTGCATGCAGTGATGTTGCTGCACTTCCCCAGGGCTGCTTCTGTTTCAAAGACCTCGAAGTCTTTGTTCTGTGAATGTAACCATGAATGGAGGAATTGGTGCTTTAATTTCAAACCGAAAATTCCTAATGAAGTTGATATTCCTAATATCCCCAATTTCCCTCCTGTCTTAATTGTGTCTCTGAATTATCCTTAAACCTAATCAAACTCATTATCATAATCTTCCCTAAACTTTGTCATGTTTTAAACCCCATCTATCTTCATTTATCCCCAACCTGTAAGAGCACCTCACCCTCACCCTGACTCCCAGCCCTGACCTGTGGCCCACTCTGACCACATGCCCTTCTCTGGTCCTATGGCCAGCCCTCTGCAGCTCCTTTGATCCCCTGCAGTGTGTTCTCCATGACCAACTTGCCTCCCGCCTGCCCTCTTTCCTCCTGAGCTAACATCATGGCTGTGGTCCTCCAGGGGCTGTCTTGGTCTATGGTGACCTCACAGCAGGAGGAACATGTTCTGGGGAATTTGGATTCTGCAGCCATTGCCCTTGTCTTAGGGAATTTGAGTCCTTAGCCACTTTCCCAGCAATCTTAGAGGGAAGTGGGGCCAGACTTCTGCTACACCTTCTCCTTTCAAGACTCTTCCCTAGACACCTGGGTCTTTCCCTGAGCTCCTGGGGAGGAGGTAGGAATGGAATTGGGATGAAGCAGCCTGAACCCTTCTTCCTACAGCTCAGGACACATTGGGCCAATTGTGTCATTTTTCTTATACTCTCCTTGGATTAAATATGACTCATCTCTTTAGAACTCCCCTCCTGCCTCTCTCTTACTCCCTACATTTACATTTTATGTCAGTGAAATTTACTTGTTTATGCTTTCATTCATGCCACAAATATTTATTGAGCTTGTACTATGCATCAGGTGCTGAGAAAACAGCAAAGGATAAGGCAGCAGAGCTTAGCTGGAAATAAGTGTTACAGGCTTAAGGTGAAAGGTTATTTGTAATTTTAATTATTAATTAAACATATTTTATTGGTATGATTATATATATGAAGTTTAGTAAAAGAAAATGTTCACTCTCTGGGTTTCTTCCTGGATGGTATTATTTGTTTCATTTCTGATTACCTGTTTCATTTGTTTTCATTTCTGAATTGATTTGTTTCAATTCTGATTACCAGAAATGATTTTGTGGTATAGAGGTAAGGAGTGTTAAAAATGATCCATTTTGGTGTCAAATACATGACATATGCCACTGCTTAAGAGCTCAGTTATAGATTTCATGATGGGCCAGGTGTGTGCTCTGCTGTCCGAAGAGTTGGGCTTACAGATTCCAGTCCTGTGGTTAGAAAAAGGACCTGGCCAAGTCCCACCTCTGTGCCATGGTGTTGAGGCTTCTTCCCTGGGGAAAGCAGCTCTGTGTCTGGCCTCTGCCACTCACCTCTGTTTTGTCCTCCCTCTAGTGGCTGAGCACAGCGCCGGGATCCAGATGCCATTGCTTGGAGCCGTTGCCACAGTGCTGGTGGCCACCTGCACAGCAGTCGTCGGGGTGGTCGTGTTGGCTAGAAAGGTAATGGCTCTGGCTGCACATCTCAGTCCCGGCTACCCCCGCCCCTGCCACCCTGGTCCTTTCAGGTTCTCTTTCTGTTGCGAGAGAGCCCCATATGTGATCTCCCCCATCGCTCCTCTGTGCGGGATAAGCAATGAACACTCCAAAAATTTAGAGGTAAAGGCTGCATGACACAGTCAACAGGTTATAAATCCTCTGTTACTTGAGCTTAAGAGGTTGTGTGGCTGAAAGAGTAATGGATGGGGAATTGAAAGATTGAGTTTCTAGTTTTGGCACTGAGTGTATGATTTTTAGGGAAGATACTTAATCTTTCCAGGTCTCCATTGTTTTCCATATATAAAATAAGGATTTGTCTTAATCCCTTTTCTGCTGCTGTAACAGAATACCACAGACTGGGAAATTTATAAAGAAAAGAAGTTTATTTGGCTCACAGTTCTGGAGGCTGGGAAGTCCAAGAGCATAGTGCACCTGGAAAAGGGCATCCCATGGTGGAAGGCATCACATCATGAGTGAGTGTGTGTATGAGACACAGAGACAAATGGGGCCAAGATTATCCCTTTTATTAGGAGCCCACTCCAGAGATAACTAACTCCCAAGATAACTGTATTAGTCCCATTATAGGGGCAGAGCCTTCATGGCCTAGTCATCTTTTTAAAGTCTCACCTCTTAGTACTATTATAATGGTAATTAAGTTTCCAACACATGGACTTTGCGGGACACATTCAAACCATTGCAGGATTATAATTCTACTTACTGTATATCACACAGTTGAGATGAACAGGAAGCATATTTCATGTGAAAGCTTTATAAATAATGAAGAGATGTATTAATACCCTATTGTATCATAAACTGATAGCTATTGATTGAGATAAGTGAAAGAATGTCCACTTTTAGTTTTGTGTGCTTTCTTGAGTATTTTAAGTCATCCCAGGTTGGCTTAATTCAAGTCACCACACAAGCATTTTGGGTGACTCAACAATCTTGTGATTCACAACACTATCTTCCACCTTTACCCTGGACCCTCCTCCATAGACCCTGACCCACTTTCCCTCCAACTCTGATTCCATTCAATTAACAACTCAGTTCTGCAGCCCAATACAGTCATGTGTCCCTTAATGATGGAGGCATGTTCTGAGAAATGCATCATTAAGCACCACATAAGAGTCCACTGACACAAACCTAGATGGCATAGTCCACTACACACCCAGGCTATAGGCTACAAGCCTGTACAGCACGCTATTGTACTGAATCGTGTAGACAATTGTAACACAATGGGAAGAATTCATATATCTAAACATAGAAAAGGTACAGCAAAAACATAATATAAAAAATAAAAAATGGTACAACTGTATAGGACGGTTACCAGGAATGGAGCTTGCAGGATTGGAAGTTGTGCTGGGTGAGTCAGTGAGTGAGTGGTGAGTGAATGTGAAGGCCTAGGACATTACTGTACACTACTGTAGACTTTATAAACACTGAACACTGAGATTACACTAAATTTATAAAAACATATTTTCTTTCTTTAATAATAAATTAATCTTAGCTCACTGTAACTCTTTTACTTTATAAACTTCTACATTTTTAAACATTTTGACTCTTTTGAAATAACACTTAGCTTAAAACGCAAACATACTATACAGCTGTACAAAAATATTTTCCTTCTTTATATCTTTATTCTATAAACTTCTTTCTATTTAAAAAATATTTATTTTTTACTTTTTAAACATTAAACTAAAAACTTTTAAACTTTTTACTTTTTAAACCTTTAAACTTTTAAACTTTAAACTAAAAACTAAGGCAAACACACACATGAGCCTAGACCCTTTACCCTGGACTCTCCTCCCTAGACCCTGGGAGGGGTCAGGATCATCAATATCACTGTCTTCCGCCTCTACATCTTGTCCCACTTGCTCCCATCTTCAGGAGCAATAACATGCATGAAGCTCTCACCTCCTATGACAACAATGCCTTCTTCTGGAACACCCCCTGAAGGACTTGCCTGAGGCTGTTTGACAGCTAGCTGCTTCTTCTTTTTTTTTTTTTTACATATAGGTAGAAGGAGTATACCTAAAATGACAATAAAAGCATAGTATAGTAAATACATAAACCAGTAACATAGTCATTTGTTATTATTATCAAGTATTATGTTCTGTACATAATTGCATACATTTATAGGACTGGAAGTGCAGTAGATTTGCAGTATCACCACAACACACGGGAGTAATGCATTATGCTACAATGTTAGGATGGCTAGGGTGTCACCAGGGAATAGGAGTTTTTCAGTTCTTTTATAATCTTATGGAACCACTATCATTTATGTGGTCTGTTGTTTATCAAAACAATGTTATGCTGCACATTGCTGCATTACCCTCTCTGGACTATGGTGCTATTACTCATATATATAGATTTATAGCTACCATATTATTTTTCTCATAATCTCCCCCCTATTCTCTCTTGCTCTCTTTTGAATTAAGATTATATTTATTATTAAAAAGATCTGTTTGCTAGTTATGCATTCCTTTGTTATTCTTTTAGTAGTTACATTAAATATACCCCCGATTTATTGAAGTTTAATATAAATGAGTACTTTTATCATCTTTTAGATCAGGCATCCTCAAACTATGGCTCGTGGGCCACATGCGGCCCGCCAAGGACATTTATCTGGGCCCGCTGGGTGTTTTTGCCGCTGCTGCCTGTCCTGCTTAGCAGCGGACTTGTCCAGGGCCCGCAGTGTGCATGTGTGGAATGTGAGCCGCACTCTCCAACGGCCCTCTGAGGGGCTGAGGGACAGTGAAAAGGCTCCCTGTTTAAAAAGTTTGAGGACCCCAGTTTCAGATTATGTAAGAACCTTATAGCACATTAACTTTTTGTCTTTGCCCCCAACTTATTGCTAATATTATCATACATTTTAGTTCTCTCCAAATTTTAAATACCCCAAATTATTATTACAGTTTTCTAAGTCATTATTCATCCAGATTTACCCTTTCTGTAGCTCTTCACTCTTTCCTGCATGCATTGTCTTGCAACTGGGATCATTTTCCTTTCACCTGAAGAATACCCTGTAATATTTCCTTTTGTGCAGGTCTGCTCGTGATGAATTATTTTGGTTTTTGTTTGCTTAAAAATGTCTTTATTTTTCCTGAATTTAAAAATGGTATATTTGTTTTGCTGAGTGTAGAATTCTCTATTGGCAGCTATTGCCTTTTAGTACATGGAAGATATTCTGGCTTCCTACATTTCTGTTGAGAAAACAGGTTTTATGTTTGCTCCTTTGAAGATATTTTTCTTTCTTCTGGTTCTTTTAAAATTTTCTTGTCATTGGATTTTAGCAATTGTACAATGATATAATTAGGTCTAATTATCTTTTAATTTATTCTGTTTGGCATTTGAAATACTTTTTGAATCTGTGGCTTGATGTCTTTTGTCAGTTTTGGGTCATTCCTGGCCATTATCTCTTTATATATTGCTTCTCCATTCTTGTTTTCTTCGTCTTCTGGAGCTCTAATTACAGATATTTTAGACATTTTCACTTTTTCCTCACATGTCTCTTATTCTCTTTTTGTATTTTCCTTCCATCTGTCTTGTCATATTTTAGAGTGGATGGTTTCTTTTGACATATCTTCCAGGTTACCAAATATCTTCTTTGATGTATCTAATCTTTGTTTAAATAGTTTACAGTCTGCCAAAATTCTCGATATGGTCTTTTAATTCCTTGATACTATTAATCAACTATTATTAATTGGACCCTCTGGGTTCTTTTCCCATTGTCTATTTTTACTTGATTTTTGTTCGTATCTTCTTGACTATTTGGTACTTTTCATTGAGTGCTATGCATTTTACATGAAAAAAAAATGTGACAATGATTTGAAGTTCTTGATAATATCATCCTCCTCCAGAGAGGATTCCCTTCCACTTCTGGCAGGTGGCTAGTCCGGAAGCACTGGTAATTTCAGGTCACCTTGATTAAATCAGTGTTCGGAGGATTTAAAGCTGTACTTCAGTTTCTGTTACTCCCTTACTCCTAGGGTGTGGTCTTTTGGGATCCCAATTAAAAGCCTGGGGTGTTCTCCCCTCTTTAGTGGTTTCTGAACTCCAAATTTTGCCCCTCCAGCCAGAAGCTTATCTGCCTCTCAGCCAACTTTTAGTCAATTGCCTCCAGGAGAAAATGTCCCCAAATGCTCCTCTCATCTCTCTGGGTTTTACTCTTCTTGTGGATCTTGCTCCCAGTCTACAGATTCCTCACAGATTTGGAAGAACCCTAATTTCTTCAAACAGATGTTTCTAATATTTTGTTTGATGTTTCTAGCTGTTTTCAGGGAAGGATTGGTTCAAAGCAACATATTCAACCACAGTTCCACCAGGAACAGACTCCTTTGATGCTGTATTTCATATCTGCATTCAAAGCACAACGGGTTTATAGCTGGCCCACCTACTCTGAACCTTGGGCTCTTTGGGTTAGGACTCCTGCCTGAGTTCTAGCCCCTCGCTATCCAATGTCTGACCAGCCACTTGGCCTCCATCTGACTGGGTCACTGGCCAGGCCCAGAAATGGAGGGATTTGGGCAGTTTTGTATTCTTAGGCCCTGGTTCCATCTTGCTTGCTTTTTGTGAGTTTTAACCTTCTTTTTCTCTTTCTTCCTCTCCCAGAGAAGGACCAACCTTTGATTTTCTTTTCTTTTTAGTTTAACTTCTACTTGACTTTTTTACTCTCATTTCTCAAAACCATAGAGACCTGATTCCTTCTTCAGACCTCAGAGTTGGATCTTGCTAATTTGGTTCAGAAGAAACTAAAGAGAGTCTCCAAATTATAGGAAGAGATCTCATAATTGGTGATTCCCTATGAAAGATATACAAGGCATTATACCAACAGATGATAGCCTGGTCTTCCAGTTTGCCTGTAAAAATCTCTGTTGTCTTATGATCTAAACCCTCACTTCCTAGTTTTAAGAAAACCTACCTGGTTCATAGAGATGTGGCTACTTATTCTTTATTATTCAACA